TTTTTGCTATAGGGCATGTGCGCTCACTAGGAAGACAGAGAGACGGAAAGTGAGAAATCACCCCCCAGTGGGGAAGGCCATGCTGCAATCCCTTCTCCTCCTTTCTCCTCTAGGGATCTTGGGCATGCATGCACACGCATCCGGCATGAGTTTAAGCCACCGGGTCCAGGACGTGAACCACGGTCGACTACATAGGAATCCAGTGACATAGCCATTATGCTAACTGCTGGTACCCCTGCTGAAGTATTCTAAAAATGACACAATCTAAAAAAGAGACTCCTTGTATATTCAACTTCAGGCTTCTTGTTCCCAAAGAAATTAACAATGATAACTTTTTAAAAATTAAGTATTTAAAATTGTTCCACTTTCTGGAGAGCCAGAAAGTGAGAACTCCCCCACCCTCCCTTAGGGGGAATGGCCATGCTGCAATCCCTTCTCCTCTATTCTTCTCACAGGATTTTGGGCACGTACATACATGCCTAGTGTGAGCTTTAAGTCTCTGAGTCTGGGACTTGACCCACAGTTGGCTACATGGGAGTCCAGTGATGTAACCATTACACCATCTGCTGGTCCAAAATTTTTAAAGTAGAAGTGATTTATTTAAAAGGAGGTTGTGCTTTTTGCCTAATGTGTTTTCTGCTTAATGTTCCAATCAAATCTCAGAGTGAGGACAAGTTATTTGCATTGTTGACGAATAATGGCCACATTTTCTGTTCTTCAGCTGGTTCATTATCTCACAAATTTACATCCAATTATGAAATTGCTAAATAGCTTAACACCATCCATATAGTAGACTCACAATAAATATTTGTTAAATGGAATATAAGAGTGAATAAATGAACGATAGAATGAACAAAGAGGAACTAATGTTCACTAAGTGTTTAGGACATGTGACTAGCAGAGTGCTACATTAATTCAAATATTTATTTATTTTACATTTTGAAAATTTATTTAATCATTTTACATCTTTACAATGCATAAAATGATTTTTTCCAGCCTAAGTGTGGTGGTGCATTATCATTCAAGTCAAAGATATTACCATATACATTATCATTAACAGATAAATTTTTTGTGTCTGTTAATTTTTTTTCTTCCTGATCCCTTCCTTTCCACCCTCTATTACCCATCTCTTTCTATACTGTCTCTAGAATCTACAGTTGTCCTCCCAGCTATTGAACCATCCTATCCTTCAGTTTCTGCCATAGAATGCAGACATTTGGGATATATTGGTTGGGGACATACAATGCCTGTCTTTCATTGTCTGACTATTTTACATAGCATGGTATCTTCCATATTCGTCCTTTTTGTATCAAATGTCAGGCACCTCACTATATTTTATGGCTGAGTAGTATTCCAAAGTGTATTTGTTCCACATTTTTTTTCAACCCACTTATCTGTCCTTGGACAATGGGGTTGATTCCATGCTACATGTTTTAAATAAGTTACCTCATTTTTCCTTAAAACAATGCTTGCTAATGCTTTGCACACTAAATTCTCAAGGCATCACTACAACCAATAAAATGCATCCCTTATAACTACTGAAATGTGCAGACTGTAACTTATGAAGGAATGTTCATTCCTAAACATATCAGATTGGCAATTGGAGTACATTTTCAGTAGGCTTAATTGTAATTTTTTTTGAAAAATATTTTTGCCATAGGGCACTTGCACTTGCCAAAGAGATAGAGACAGAAAGTGAGAAGTCACCCCTCCCAGGGGGAATGGCCAATGGCCATGCTGCAGTCCCTTTTCTCCTCTCAGGATTTTGGGCATGCACACACAGGTGCCTGGTGTGAGTTTTAAGCTGCAGGGCCTGGGACTCGAACCATGGTTGGCTATGTGGGAGTCCAGCAATATAACCATGATGCCATCTGCTGGTCCCAATTGTAAACTTTTTATATCCCAAAGTTTTTATTTTCTCTGGACCAAAGAGGAGTAGCTGAGAAGAGATTTTATAAATAAAAACCATTGGCATTTGCTGATCAGTTATTGCTCAATTATTCTAAAAGCAACAAAAAAAAATAGCATTTCAGGGTTCATGCTCTTTTCTATTATAATTGTTAAGTAAAAATACCTATGGATGGTAATGCTGACAAGTAGAATGTATACATTTTTACTAGTGCTTACTGAAGCCAATTAAATATTACTCTAGTTGGGAAGTGAGCAGTGAACTTAAAAGGATATGAATCTTCAAAGTCAAGCATGAAATGTATTTTGATCAGAATTGAGAGAGACCAGATTTGGACTTCTACTCTAAAATGATGTCTATGTAGAACAAATGAGAAAGACTTCTCTGATTTTCTACTTAAATGCCATTTACAAAGGGAAAAAAGGCAAACAAAAAGGCAAAATAAACACATGAATATACACACACATACAAAACACTTTTTTAAAAAATTACACCACTACCACAAACTACCACATAAAGATTTATCAACATCTGGAAGTCATTTTCATTAAGTGTATGGCTGATGACTGTCTCTACACTCTCATCAAAGAAATATTTATTCAGTACATTTTCTTGGGGCACGATAGGAAATTCCCTAGTAGCTTATAGGCTACTTATAAAATATATTATAATGATGATTCATTACAAATGAGGCTAGGAGTTTGTTTTACTATACTAATTTGAAATGTGTATTGCTCATAATTAATTATTCAAGTGTAATGACTGATTGTACATTGTCTTTTAAAATACGTAATTATTCCCAGTGTTGATTGTCATTTGAACATTCAGCTGATAAATAGGATTTAAGGATTTCTAGTATTTCAATTTTAATGATATATGAGTGCATTTAAAATTTATAAAAATTATTGAACCCCTCTGGTTTAGATGTATAGATTCCTGAGCTATGCTGAGTTCAAATGTCAGCTCTGCCAATCCTTAGCTGAATTTCCTGCTTAATCTCTCTATGCATGAATCCTAGAAATGGAAAAAAACAGGAAAGAGAGGAATGGAGAGCTAAGCAACAAGCATAGGAGGATGTAGGCTACATTTGG